CCCCAAAACCCCAAAACCCCAAAACCCCGTAAGTAAATAATGTATAAAATTGAGTTAAAATTAATACCAAAAAATATTTGCAAATGGAGCCTAATTTTAAAAGAATTTCTCATCACAAGGAAATCGAATAGTAAGAAGATAATGATAAAGTCAAGTTAAATAAAGAATAGCTAGAGGCTATCAACCATTATAATTCTCCCCTCCTCATATTGGCAGGTGTTGGAACAGGCAAAACTCAAACTTTAATGAGCAAATATTCCCATTTATTGAAATAGGGTATCTCTCCATAAAATATATTAGCAATAACTTTTACAAAAAAGGCGGCAAAAGAAATGAAATTGAGGGCTTAAGAATTATCAGGAAAACCTCTTGATTACTCCTGGGTAGGAACTTTCCATGCTTAATCAGCAAGAATGCTTCGAAGAGATAAGATTTTTAAACTAGTTGGGCTTAAGTAAGACTTCAAGATCTTAGAGTAATCAGAGTCTAGAGATTATATTGTGAGATTATTTAGAGGTTAAAAAAATCTAAAGCGCTTGTTCCTTACATATTTCTAGGAAGCTTTAAAAGAAAAGAAAAGCTACAAAAAACCTACTATGAATTATAGCGAGATTTAAATGACCCTTGACAATCTAAAGGAAAGGTGTATTGAAATTGAAGATGACATGCCTAATAATTTGACAAAATTAGAGCAACTGGTGTTTATGAATATTTATGAAGATTATCAAAAACTATTAAAGAAAGAAAACTCGGTTGATTTCAGGGATTTGCTGTTCTATATGTATTAAATCTTCAGAAAGTTTCCTGATATCTTAGTGAAGAATAGATAGCAATTTAAATATATACTAGTAGATGAGGTTCAAGACTTGAACACTCTACAGCAATAATGGTTAAAACTCATAGTGGGAGAGAATTAAAACTTAACTTGCGTCGGAGATGATGACTAGATGATCTATAGTTTCAGAGGTGCCACAGGAGATTTCATTCTGAACTTTGAAAAGCATTTTCCTACTGCTAAGATTATCAAGCTTGAATAAAATTATAGATCGACGAAAAATATCTTAATGTGCGCTAATAATCTTATAAGGCATAATAAAAACAGAAAAGGAAAGGTCTTATGGACTGATAAAGAGATGGGAACAGGCATCAATATCATTCGTGAATTCAATACAATTGATGAAGAAGTAATAGGAATATGCAATTAAATTTCAAAGAGAATTTAAACAGAGGAAATAGATCTTAATCAGATTGCTATACTTTCTAGAATGAATAATCAAGCTAGAAGATTTGAAAATCAGCTAATCTTGTAGGATATTCCATATTAACTTAGTTCTACCAAAAAACCTTTCCTGTAGAAATTTGAAGTAAAAAAGGCTCATTAGTATCTATTGTACTTGGTTAGACCAAATGAAGATGAAAATATGATTGAAGTCTTACTAACTTTATAAAAGATTGGGTAAATAACTGTTGATAAGCTTATTGAAGAAGCAAAAAATTAAAATGCCTCAATACATAGTATATGTGAGAAATTAACTGGAGTTATTCAAGTTTTAGATGAAGAAGAAACTTCAAATCAACCCTAAGACTAAAGTAAGAAGAAAAACAAAAACAAGAGAGGTAATTCGACAACTCTAGAAAATCTTGAACAAGAAATAAGATAGGAATATGATAATAATAGAAGTATAAGAAAAAGTAATTAAGAAATCCTAAAAAAAATTGATCCAACAAAAATAAAGAAGCAAATTAATGGTGGGAAGATAAAATAACTTAAATAGCTTCTAGAGAAAAGACTTTTATTTCTTTAAGATTATGATGAAGAATAAATGTATCATAACTTTTTAAAAAACACTAAGTTCTTCGATTACCTGAAATTGGAATGTGAAAAATGAGGTAAAGAATACTCAAAGGCCTCTACTAATGTAAATGCTTATCTTTAATTAGTATCATAAGTGGGAAATGTTGAAGAACTTCATAGAAGAATGATAGAATCGCTCGAGAAGAAAAAAGTAGAAGACAATATTCCTAAAATAAAGGTAATGACTATACATGCAAGCAAAGGTCTGGAATTCGATATTGTTTACTTACCTTTCTGGGTTTAAGGTAGTGTCCCCATTCATAGGGACGGTACTGAACTTGAGGAAGAAAGAAGATTAGCTTTTGTTGGGATTACAAGAGCCAAAAATGAAGTTGTTATTTCCATGCATAATGAAGAATAGTTTAATGATCGCTCTTGGTATAAATCAAAATCTCAGTTTTTAAGAGAAATGAGCTGATTTATCTTGATTATTATATATATGCTACAATATCTGAAAAAAAATTTAATAGATTCACGGGGTTTTGGGGTTTTGGGG